ACCTGCTCCGTTTCCGACCTGGGCCGGTTCACCCCTCCTTAGGCAACCTGGTGGTCCCCCGCTCCCGGGAGGTCACCATATTGATGCCGAACTTAGTGCGGACACCTGATCGGCACATCTCACTGCAGCCCAGAACTCCTGGGCTCAAGCGATCCTCCCACCTCAGCCTCCTGAATAGCTGGGACTATGGGCACGCGCCACCGTACCCAGCAACCAAATACATTTCATATGAGGCAAGACAACTTTTTTTTTTTTTGAGATGGAGTCTTGCTGGACTGCAGTGGTGTGATCTCAGCTCGCTGCAACTTCTGCCTCCTGGGTTTAAGCAATTCTCCTGCCTCAGCCTCCCATGTAGCTGGGACTACAGGTGTGCACCACCGTGGCTAATTGTTTTTGTATTTTTAGTAGAGACAGGCTTTCGTCATGTTGGCCAGGCTGGTCTCAAACTGCTAAGTAACCTCAGGTGATCCACCCACCTTGGCCTCCTAAACTGCTGGGATTATAGGCGTGAGCTGCCACACCTGGCCCAGTTCAACTTTCTTAAGTCAGTATTTACAGAGCTAACTCAGTGTCCCAGAATTTAAAAATTCCTTACCCTTTACAGCAAAGATACATATTGTGGCTCTACTGAAGCAATATATACATGTCAGAACTAAAAATCAGAAAAGCAAAAGGGTCCATTCAACATATAGCAGCTTATATCTAAATATATACATGTATGTATATGTTTTCACAGTTAGATCTTTAAAAAAAATTATATTTGATATGTTCAGAAATATCTCTGTAGTCTATAAATATTTTAAAAGCTCAACTGATCAAAATGCAATACAAGAACATATCAAATTAAATAAATCTTCTAAATCTTTAAAAACAGATACTTGAAGTCAGTAAAGCTTGAGGTTTGTGTTAAGTGTATTCTGTCAGTCCCTATGACTAGGGAAGGCAGAATTTTCTAAATACGATAGGAGAGAAACTCCAAAAGCTTGGAAGGAATTGGCAGCTCCTGGACTTCTTGGGTGGGCATCACTCTTCGGATTGACATGCGACATAAATGTTGCAGGCTAGGGACTTGCCGTGGAGTGGCCCAAAAATACACACTTCCGTCATGTGTTCTAAAAAGAAATAAAGCACATGCTCAGTCACCCAAGCATATGTATTTCAAAGTTGCTACAGCTCAAACAACTATCATCTAATACATGTGAGTACCGGAGTCACAAACTTCACATTAAAACCCAACTAACCAATGATGTATTCTATGACAAGGTCACATTACTCTAAAGAACACTTTCATTAGAGATTTACTGACAATAAACTACTAGCTGCTAAAAGCCACCTTAAATTGCCCCTTAAAGAAAAGAGAAAAATTTATTTACCCAGCAGCTAAAACACTGCCATCAGTAGAGAAGGCACAGCAAAGACCATTGCTCAAAGGTGCAACTTGCACTGGATAATCCTCATCAATTCTCCAGAACCTCACCATTCTGAAAAGGAAATAAATTATTTAGTGAGCATCTTGTAGAAAATGTAAGGTAAAAGCATCTTTTAAAATTTAGAAAGAAATGCCATTGAGTTATGAGTCACAAAACACACAAATCACACCAACAGGCAATGACTGTAACTTGCTTTATAAAATTATAAAATATTTTAAGCTCTATAAAAACCAGTTGGTAAACTGGAAGAACTTTCACTTAAGAGACTACCATGCACGGTTGACTTCTCACCTTCCCAGTGTTCAAATCTAGAATGTTCAGACACAGAGGTTTTTTCCTTACTTTCCTACACTTACAATACAACCAGTTTCTAATCTGTTTCACCCTTTTCCCAAGACACTTTAAAAACCTAGGTGGGCCGGGCGCGGTGGCTCAAGCCTGTAATCCCAGCACTTTGGGAGGCCGAGGCGGGTGGATCACGAGGTCAAGAGATCGAGACCATCCTGGTCAACATGGTG